CTACTTGCCAAACTGCGTCCTTTTGCTTGTCAAAAGTTTTTGTGCTGTGTAAGCCAAGGGGTTACGTGAAGAAACCAATCTCAAGTTGGAGTTTGCATATTGGGAGTTGGTGCTTTCTCCTGGCCTCCTTGGGTTATGCGCATTTCCTGGTGGTAGTAAGGGGGTAATCTGCGACCCGCCTACCAGCCGTGGGGATTGTGCATACCGTGAGATAGGATAAGTTTAAAAATTTGAAAATTTTATTATAAATTGTATATTTATATACTTATCCTATCTCACGCGATAGGATCCACCCGACCTGCCCCACATCACAGATTACTGGAAGCTCCAAGACCCGAATGACAGGCACAGGTAGTCACATGATCATCTGAGTGAGGTACACGCTTACGGAGATGATTGACAGGTGCTGATGTCGGAGTGGGGGCAGAGGTCAGGGCGGGTCAGAGGCCAGCAAGATTTGATTCAACTTAGCCTACAGCACGTTTCCACACATGGTCGTAGAAGAAGAGGAGAGGTGCATACCGTGAGATAGGATAAGTATATAAATATACAATTTATAATAAAATTTTCAACTTTGTAGCGGCGGCCTGAAGGGAGGAGGTTGTATTCCGAATTTAAGTAGTGAGTACGGTCAGATATGATTTTGACAGCTTGATTCACGATTTGCCGCTCATATATTGATGATAAACATTCAAATCTCACTTTAGCGATTTTACTTGCAGTGTTAACAATTTTGTCTTTTTTAGATTTGAGATGTACTGAGAGAGACCCGTACCAACAATGGAAGGAAAATGTTAAAATACTCTGAATAAATGCTATATAAAAGATGACATCACAGATGGGTTAACATTAAAAGATCTCAGTTTACGTATGAGATGAAGACGTTGTTGACACTTTTTGTGTCTCATAGAGACATGAGATAGGTCTCATCATGACTCAAGTCATTTAGTTAGAATTCATGCAGATGCTATAAGACCAATTAGGCGTGCACCTTCACGTTCCATGACATGTAGCCAAGCGATTAAAGGCCGGGGGGCAAACCTAAAAAACCCATGGGTTTCCAATTTGTCTCCCATTGGCTACTCCTCAGCAGTGTAGATGTTATCTGCCCAAGAGTGATAGGACTGTAACGGCTATGGGTGCCTGGCACGAGCCTGGCGATGGCAAAGGTTTACATTGGAATTTACTACTAGAATAGACATGTGCCTTATAGCAGCGTTTGAAATAAGGCCCGTCCTACAGCCCGAGACGGGCTAGATTTTTTAACGGACGGACTAAATTTACAGCTAGCCAGTACGATGGTCTGGTAAAGATTTTAGATGTTCCATACATCTGAGTAAATTCACCATATCTTGGTGCCTGGTCTGGTTAAATCCATTGTGGACTGGTAACATTTTGAAATTACCAGCCTTGATATCTGGCTGGGTTTTTGGCTTATTTCATACACTGCTTATAATAAATGTCTCAAGAACCCTTTCCCTACGTGATGACTAAAGAGATTATTATGATTAGCATATATGAAATTTCAAATTTGCTTTTTTCTGATAATAAAATCTTCAACATGGTGATGCACAGCATCGGGTCAGGGGAGTGGGGAGGGGGTTATTTTCACAGCCTGCCTGAAATATGAAACCCAGAATGAAACCAACTCACAGGCTTGTTTGTATGGAAACGCACATCCTCAGGCCACCTGACTGACACAGTGAGAAATTCAAATTTTGATTTGAAAAAGAAAAGATATTTTCAAAATATATGTTTTGTAGGCTGTCTGCATACATACATTTTATAGTGAGCCTTCACAACATACTTCTTTACACTATGGCTTAATTTCATCATGAACCGGTAAGTCAGTTTTGTTATATTTCATGGAATGTCATTGAATACTGCATTGCCTTGCATCGAAAGACTGCTTTAACAAGGCAAGGAGGTCACACCCCATCTGTGTATAGGTTTGAACCCCAGCCTTTAAGCTCAGAGGAAGTTGCGTCATCAACCAATAATCAGTAGGATGCACAAGAGATCAGTGGAATACCAACCTCAACACCTGACTCCTACGAGAAAATGCGGTTCTTTGAGATGGGGATTCATTTCATGGCTAAACTTGTAAAGTAACAGACACGAGCAGTCATCCCTACAACGTTGCAGAGGAAGAAGCTCACAAAGGTGGCCCCAATTGAAGTGAAGCTCAACCAGTTCTGCACTCATCCTGCGATCCTGTTGACTCAGCTCTTCATTCAATATAACAACACCAGTCCTGGATCTAGTCGGAGGTCGTTTTAGCCTATATGCCAAAAATTGGAAGCAGTACACAGAGAACTCCTGCGTGCATGAGGTTGTGTAGAGAGGGTACAAGTTGCATGACACTCCACTACTCAACCAGCATTAAGTAAAATGTCCCAATGTAGGGTCATGTCTTGACTGAAAGACGCCCATCACAGCTCTCAGCTGCCTAGTGCCAGACCTACTAGCCCCAAGGGACCGTTCACGTATGCATTTCCCTTTGAATTTCGTGATAATACTAATAGCTCAGGCATGACCCAACAGGACATGGTTTCCGAGAATATTATCCCTATTAATAAACAAACCGGAGCCTTGAGATCTGTTGAGCCAGCCTAGATCCGCAATATGCCAACAAATTGGCAGGACTGGGGCAAACAAAGTTGTTGTTTTTTAATTGCCTCAAATCAATCATAGGCACTTGGTCGTCTAGGCCACAGGCAATATGTGTTACAAGTATTGAGACAAAGTGTGAAGATTTCCAGGATAAACTCAATCACAGTGAACTTACTTTTCAAACAAGCTGCCGTGCACTCATATCTTTGGTTAACATGGTGATCATGGATCACTTGGGTATAAGTATAATGTCAGGTTTCTCCATGATAGCCTCGGGTGTATCATCATAGACCTCCAGTACTGGCAGCGAAGAGGCAACCCTAGGGTCTTGTGTTGAATCATAATTGTCTGTATGCCTCCCTGCAGAGAGGAGACAACCCTAGGGTATTGTCTTGAATCATAATTGTCTGTATGCCTCCCTGCAGAGAGGAGACAACCCTAGGGTCTTGTGTTGATTCATAATTGTCTGTATTCATCCCTGCAGAGAGGAGACAACCCTAGGGTCTTGTGTTGATTCATAATTGTCTGTATTCATCCCTGCAGAGAGGAGACAACCCTAGGGTCTTGTGTTGAATCATAATTGTCTGTATTCATCCCTGCAGAGAGGAGACAACCCTAGGGTCTTGTGTTGAATCATAATTGTCTGTATGCCTCCCTGCAGAGAGGAGACAACTCAAGGGTATTGTCTTGAATCATAATTGTCTGTATGCCTCCCTGCAGAGAGGAGACAACCCTAGGGTCTTGTGTTGATTCATAATTGTCTGTATTCATCCCTGCAGAGAGGAGACAACCCTAGGGTCTTGTGTTGATTCATAATTGTCTGTATTCATCCCTGCAGAGAGGAGACAACCCTAGGGTCTTGTGTTGATTCATAATTGTCTGTATTCATCCCTGCAGAGAGGAGACAACCCTAGGGTCTTGTGTTGATTCATAATTGTCTGTATTCATCCCTGCAGAGAGGAGACAACCCTAGGGTCTTGTCTTGAATCATAATTGTCTGTATGCCTCCCTGCAGAGAGGAGACAACCCTAGGGTCTTGTCTTGATATCTTATGTATACCTCCCTGCAGTGATTGTCATAACCAATGGATATATGACACTTTATTACTGATATCTTCTGTTGTATAGACTTTGGGCTGTATTTGTATTACCTTTGTGTGTAGAGAAGAACGGAAAATAATTCTGGTGTATATTGACTTTAGGGTTACCGATTTGAGATGTACCTTTCGCTCAACTAACATGCAGTAGCCTCACAGCGATGGCAGTCATTGTTTTAAACAAATTCCCAACTAAAATACGACTTATACATCACAAGAAAACATAGGCCAATATTTGTGAATATTTGGGCTTTAATTACCGACAAAAGTGGTCACATTATGTACACAATCCTAAGTGAATATAATATTTATATACAAAAATAAATAGTAGGTACACTGCTCTTGATTACATCAGTCTTATCACTACACACAGAAAGCAGAGGGTATAGCTCTAGCGTGGGACTACTTCATATGATTTTGTCATGACAACATGGCATTTGCTTGTCCGTCTCCATGGGAACAAATATATACACCATCACTACAGGTACGTGTTTATACCTATACCACCTATGCATTTCAGGTTTCTGTCAGTGCTCTTACATGAAATCGTTCACTGGTATGATAACCAACTGCCCTTGATCCTCCTTATCTCCACATGAAACGTGCTAAACTCCAACATGGTGGAGACACATAACTTATGAATCAGGAAATACGTCGTCAGTCGCGAGGATTCGATAGAAAAATACCCTCAAGCAGCATTCAGAGTCAATAGACAACTAGAGCTGTTGTCTGAAGAGTCATCATCTGCAGAATGTCCTCTGTTGAAGAAGCTAGTAAGCAATACCAAGAATTAAATACTCAACCTTTGTAGTATACCACATATAAATGTATATAAAATTTGAGGAGACTATTCATAGAAACATGAATGGATGACAAAATGAGGACACAGATGACGAAATAACCCATCTGAATGGATTCCTGGTTGTCTTAGAGCAAGTCTTGGAATAATGACATTGCATGTGAGTGAGTCATGCGAGCGAGTTATACAATGCTTTGCACAATAGCTGTCAGCCACTTTTGTCCCCTGAAGGTGATTGGCCAGTATGATTGAAGCAGATACATGTATTTGATTTACCAACTTGCTTGAAAGGAGGTAAAGCTGCTCTTCAATTGTTTCAACATAATTTCAATGACATATAAAATATAACAATAACAGATTTAAAGGCATTGCAGTGCATTGAGAAAAAAACACGCAACATTCAACAATTTGAAAAAGTGGTCAGTAAAATATGTTGTTGTATGGAGGCTGTAATACTGCTGGGTCCCAGGGAGCTGCCATTGTGGAGATGTGCCAGTATCATGGTATCATACGACTAGATTGCAGACACGCATATACGTTGTTTTGGTTTTGTGATTGGGCATTTAAATAATCTTTGGAATGGAGAAAAGGTGTAGTTCAGGTGTTATGTACACTGGAAATTTTGTTTTTAAGTTAACATTTTAGTCTCCCCATCATTACAAATATGTGTAACTAGAGAACACACCATTATGGCCACTGATACCCAATATTATAAAATTATGGAGAGACAACATAAGTTTTTAATCGAAATTTGACAAAACACCTGCTACAACAGATGAAGGTAATTAATATACTGATATGAAACATGTACATTTTGTGTTTGAATGGGGTTGAATTTGATAGTTTGTATGTTTTTCACCACAAGGGTTTTACCAAGAATAAGTACCAGAAGACTGTCCAGGACTGTGTTGTCATGGTCATACAATATAAGTGTTTTGTAGAATGTCCCCATAATGTTTCAGTTCCTTAGTTTCAAATTGATGTTCTGCTAACATCATTACCATGGGTTTGCTTAGAACATTCTGAATATGGTGCTGGGGGTTCTGCTCTTGTTTAAGCACCACATACATTGTTCCCTCATCGTCATGGAAACAGAACTTGGTGGAGAGATTGTTGTGACATCGCTGTAGTATACTCCAAGTTTACATGCCTTACAGGTATTCAGGAAATTGTCCATCACACCTGTGCAGAAGAAAACACGGAACATCCTTTGCTGTCCAGGGAATATACAGATGAAGATAGAACTAAGGAATCTGTGACATTGTATCAAAATATGCCGGCCATCAATACTGACATTCTTGTTGGTGACAATTTTCCAATATAGTTAGACAATCTGTTGATTTCCCAAATGGAAGAGTGTTTCGATTGCTGATGTCTGGCGTTTAGGTTTGGTTGTGTTGTACGTTCGACATGTGTGGCAGCACCTCTGTCGGAAGTCTCGCACACGGCACATCTTCAACATGCCAACAATGCTGCAGTACCTGGACATGTCCCGGCAACCTGCAAGTAGGGGGAAGGTCATCAATACATTGTAGGTGTACCACCAAGCCACTGGATGAAGAGACCAAATGTTTTTAGATCCACACTATTTTGCTTAATATTTTGCTGTTGTGAAGAAAATTATTGAATATGTACAACAAGATTATCCTGAACCATGCATTTCCCAATATTAAAGAGGGCTACATTTTGTTTGGTGGAACAGTCACAGATCATAGTTGTGAAATATTTTGTACTCTCAGTTTCCTGTACTTTCCATTTCCTTAAGGTGCAGTCTGTCAAAACACTGTATTGATTATTTTGAAATGTGTTCAGTGACTATCAACCAGAACTTACTGCTCTGACACTGTCTTGGTGCACATGGTTTCTTCACCGAGGGTCGAGGTTTCCTCTTGCATGTTGACCAGGCCGGATCTCGTGTCTTCCTCCACACACATGTCAGCATCCGAGTCTTGAAACCCTCCAGGGCCACACGGATGTGATAAGAAGGGCTGATGTCAGAAGGGCCGACACTGAACATACGGATGTGATAAGAAGGGCTGATAGTAAACATACGGATGTGATCAGAAGGGCCGACACTAAACATACGGATGTGATAAGAAGGGCTGATAGTAAACATACGGATGTGATCAGAAGGGCCGACACTGAACATACGGATGTGATAAGAAGGGCTGATAGTAAACATACGGATGTGATCAGAAGGGCCGACACTAAACATACGGATGTGATAAGAAGGGCTGATAGTAAACATACGGATGTGATCAGAAGGGCCGACACTGAACATACGGATGTGATCAGAAGGGCCGACACTGAACATACGGATGTGATAAGAAGGGCTGATAGTAAACATACGGATGTGATCAGAAGGGCCGACACTGAACATACGGATGTGATAAGAAGGGCTGATAGTAAACATACGGATGTGATCAGAAGGGCTGACACTAAACTAATATGGATAGACACATAATACTAATATGGATTTGAACTGAACTGGTCCTAAACCAGAAATGGGATCGACACACTACAATTATTGTGCATACAGCAACAAATTAACGATGAGCAGCACAGTAGCTGTTTGAGAATGACAGTACAACAGCTGGTGGGCGGACGACTCTCACCTCACTCCATGCAGATGTTAGCCACAAGGACATACAGTCCAGCTTGACACACTCCTGCTTGTGTTCAGGCTTGTCTTCTGCCCGACACACCTCCAGCTGAGCTACAGTCCCGTTGCTGTATACACAGTCCACAGCTCGCTTCCTCTGAGCAAACCCATCTCGAACACAGCTGTTGATTGAACACTGTAAGGAATGGAACTTTACAATGGAAGACAAAAGACTTACTACAAGTGAGGAGTGAGTGAGTATGGTTTTATGCCGATTATATATATTCCAGCAATATCATGGCTGGGGACACCAAAAATGGGCTTCTGACACTGTACCCATCTGGGGAATCCAACATGGGTAGAAGATAAACAAGTGATAGTATGACGATCTTCTCAATATCATGAAGACTTCCGATGAAATTCACGGATGAACCATTTCATATATGCTTCAGTACATGCTATTGTAATATCATACAGACAAAGAAGGGGGGATTTGTGGGGTTAAAACACACCTATAGTTTACACACATGTCGGAATCTGTGTTTTAACATTGACTACAGAACTTGCCTACTTATTGTATGAATATTAGACTCTTCTGTCAATATCATAGTGCTCATTAAACATGCCACTGTACTCTGCTGATTAACACCGGTTTTACCTTGGACCACTTTGCAGTTTTCCAGAGTGGACAATCAGCTTGCAGGGAACATTTCCTCACTGTCTCTGGTTTGGCCGATCCCCATTTTATACACTCTCTGTCTGGTAAGATCTTCACATATTTGTACGTGACTCTAGCACACATGACGTCACGACGCTGGTTTCCAGAGCCGCATGTCACAGAGCATGGTGACCACTCCCCGGTAGTGAACACAAGCTTTTTGGATATATTCAACTGAGGATCGCTCACTAAACCATTGTCAGTAATGCGAGCTGCAGATACAATGTCTGATTCTGGCTTCAGAACTAAATTCTGTAGCTTTGCCTTCTCCCCTAAATATTTCTTCATTGCCTTTGCCTTCTTCTGAGCAGCAGATTTTGTCTGGAACTCTATGATGATGTCGGCACTTTCGAGCCCAGCCATGCAAGTGTATGTGCCAGAATCAGTACTTGGATTGGCTTTCTTAATCTTCAAGTTCCCCATGAAGGTTGTTCTTACCCGTCCAGCCATAGGTATCAGCTTGAAACCTTTGCTCCAGAACAGAAGGCGCCGATGATAGTTCTTAACTGGACACCTTACAGTCACAGATTGACCTGGAAGAAGGACAAGTCGACCTCCCACAGTGACCTTGACCCGCTTTGACCTTTTAAACTGTATAAAGGTATAGTTCTCTGACTTGATGACCGGTGATGTAGATGCTCCAGGAAAGCATTCGCTCATCTGACATTCTCGAGTTGTCATTGGACGAGGACCCATGCACTCAGTGTCAGCAACCATGACCTTGTGACCCCGGAATGGAGCTTTGATGCAATACGCTCGTCGTGTCTGGATGCCTGGACCACACGTCACTGTACACTAGAGAAACAGCATCACTCCACAGTAAAATACAAGTAAAATACAACTGGTATCAGTCAAAAAGGGATATTTGAAACAGTAGTTTCATGCATCATAAAGTATGTTTCACTCATCAGCACTAGCACTAGCACTAGCACCTGCACTTAACTGTGGACATAAGCAGCTTTAAGAGCTCCCAGAAACAATATATGTACACAATACTTTCAACCCAAAGATTAGATTATTATGGGAAACAAAGGAATGAGGCTGTTATGGCTAGGAGCAACCCCAATCTATTTTGAAAACTTAACAATGTTGATGTTTCCCATAATATCCTGTACTGTTATCCTAGAGCAGTAGCTTGAGCATTTGGGTAAACACACTGACTGTGATTATGACTTTCCCAGTCATACGTGATGCCTTCACATGATGATCTTAGCATGCCTTTCACTTATGAGGAATTCCATATGAGTGCACAATTTCAAAAGCTATAGAATCACCAGGGCCTCATAGTATTGTAAATGAGTTTCTGAAAACAACAGTATATATATTGTACCAGTTTAAAGAACATTGTTAAAGTCCTCATACATCTTTTAGTCTATTTCCAGAGGAAAGGGAAAAATGCATTCTGTGTCCAATGTTATTTGCAGATTAGTTCAGGGGAGTGTCTCTCACTGGCACTTTGCAAAAAGCTTTTCACTTCTATTCTACGTGTATTTGAGAGATAACGCCATTCCTAGTGTGACAATACTATCATGTTTAGGCCAGGATATTCCACCACATATCAAATATTTACTCTCAAAAACCAAGTAGATTTTACTGCAGCTTTATTCACTTTTCACTTTCGAACAGAGGAAGGCAAGTGTAAACACATCCTCGATAATCTCCAGGGTATACGTTCCGATAAATCTCCAATATATCCAGGATGCATCTACGGCTCGAGCCGATGATTTTATTACCTCCCTTGGTTGGCTTTTCATCCAATCAGGTGTCTACGATGGGAAGTTGAGCGTACCAATCACATCTCACTTTCGCTTTTTATATGATCGAACCGATTAAACTTTGCAACACAATAATATATTGTTGCAGACGTACTCTGAAAGGGGTGGAAGGAGTTCTTGTATATATTTTTTAAAGATTTCAGACCTGTCAATTTGTCTGTATGTTTTTCCCCAAAATCAGTCACACTGCACAAACTTTCGCGGCTGCGACAGCTATTTTTGTTGACACTGGTAAGCTCGGTTGTAACGGCGGCTTATCTGATTGGCTACTGTGAGAATGCAGAGCCAGCAAAGGGGGGCAATAAAATCATCGGCTTGAGCCGTAGATGCATCCAGGCAGGGTATAGTGGAGATTTATCGGAACGTATATCCTGGAGATTATCGAGGGTGGTTTAAACAGAGTGGGATAGCTTAATAGCATCAATGTAAGTTATCACCATGTCTTCAAATGAAGGGTGGTATTTTCTGATTATTGCATCTATGGTCCAGGTTACCGCCAGGACTTTGTTTTAGGCAAAAAACATTAATATTTACTTAAATGAACTAACAGTGATGTTTGAACAAAATGGTTGTCAAGGAATACTTATAAGTTTGAGATACCACGTATATTTGGTAGAACTGGGACAGGTAGATATTTTGGACATAAGCCAATGCAAAATTGTCCGACCCGACCCCTGTACCCGTTACAGCTATATTTAGAGTTAATTTACTTATTTTCATCTGCCTGAAGGTACAAGAAAATGGCGTTTGGTCATATTTCGATCTAAATTTCACAACCCAGAAAACCAAGGATTTATATGTTACACTTTACTCTTCAAAATATATCACAAAATAACATTATTGACTATTGTGGTGTTCCTTCATGGATGAATTAAAATTGTCTAAAAGTCTACTTCAAGTCTGATTGCCTAACTATGGGCTTTAATTGGTCTGATTGAAACACCACTGCCTAAATGCACCAATCATTGACAATGTAACACAAAGCCTTATATAGAATGAGTGATTTTATCGTGCTCATTCTTTATAAAAGAAGAACGAATAAAAATGTAAGATTGGTTCATTGTTTCGTTACTATGACCCTCCCTTATGAAATTCCCATAGCTCATGTAAACTGGTGATAATCTTTTTCTACATGATATGTGTGTGTCCTCAGCAAAAGCCTACACATTCACAAACCCTTGATAATGTTGTTATGAATGAAACGTTTGCATATGTTACAATAGCATACACGAGTCCTAAGGCTATACCAATGTCTTATATGCCTGGGGTAATTTGCTGAATTGCGTGTGTGACTTCCACCCAGAAGCCGCGGAAGGTGGATGAGAATTCGGTGTTGGAAGGGAATGTCCCAGAATCACTACTTACCTCCGTCCAGTTCCCCGTCTGCCACTGTGCTGGACAGAACTGAGTGTTACAGCTCTGCTCCGAGATGGGGATGGGGTCAGCACACCGGTAGTCTGGAATAGTCTCAGTCATGTCGGTCCCAGCGTCCTGGACACACCTTACAGTACGCCGCTGGACGCCACCTCCACATTCAGCAGTGCAGGGACCGTGCTCACCAGTTAACCACCTGCAAGGTTACAAACGTATCAGTCATGGAAATGTTGATTCTACGTGCGGACTCATTCCAGTGATTTATCACACTTTATCATGTTTTTAATGATATGTAATTTGTTTAAAAGTTGCAGAGAGACGTCTACTTCTGTCATTTTGTGTATTTGTTACACAAGGAAGTGTATTATTGGCATGGCAGCCGACTATGTGTTACACAAGGAAGTGTAATTACGGGTGTGAAAGTGCATTGTGTTACACGATTAACACAAGTGAATCCATTATGGTTTTGCTTGGGACAACACGCAGCCTGAAAATAAGGTATCATAAAAGACAGTATCAAAGGAACTTTAACCAGATTGCTCTATCAATCATAATATGACCAGAAATTATTGAGAATTTAGGAATATGTTTAATTGGATTTCTAGTATAAACACCCTTGACCAGCTATCAAGTGCTTGGTTTCATTCAAGAGAGACAACTCCGTAAATCCTTTTTCATTGGTTTGTGAAGAGTTATCCCTCTTTGTTTACTTGCTAGCACTTATTATAACAAGGACATCAGATCAGCTAAAGTGATTTCAAGTAGAACAGGAATCCCTTTGTCCACTGTTGATCGTGTTTTGAAAAATATTGCAAACGGATATGGCATTGAGCACCAGGGAGGCGCAGGTAGGGCCAGAAAATTGACTGTCGGTGACAGGAGGCGGCTTGGTATTCTTGTTTCTAAAAACAAACGAAGGAGTTTAGAAAACTTAAGGCTGGATATGATTGATAGAGGAACTGTGGCTGTCTGTAAGGAGACAATTAGAACTGATGCAATGGGTTGGCAGAAAAGTCGAGGAATTCCATCACCGATATGAAACCTGAACAAAAGGAGCGAAGGTTGAACTGGTGCTTACAGCATAGAAATTTTAACTGGGACAATGTGATTTTCTCAGATGAAAGTTCTGTGTGGCTGTTTCCTAATACACTGAAATTCTGGACCAAACAAACTGAAAAACCTTTGTATCAGCGCCCAAAGTACAGTCCTAAAGTTAACGTGTGGGGTGGCATATCTGTGTTAGGGGCAACGCCCTCAGTGTATTTGAAGGGAATATGAACAGTGAGTGGTACACAGATATTCTCGAGGGACATTTACTTCCATCTGCTCACGTGTTCTATGGACATTTTTCGATTTTCCAGCAGGACACCGGCCCAAAACATCGTTCAAAGCATTCACAGGCCTGGTTTCGGATCCAAAATATGACATAATTAGATTGGCCAAGCTATAGCCCTGACCTAAATCCAATAGAAAATGTTTGGGGACTTATGAAGGAAAGTGTCAATAAGAAAAATCTGACAAATATTGCTGAAATGAAAGAAGAGGTGGTCCGATAACGGGACAGCATGGACCACGACTTTCTAACTTCTGTGATCAGTTGTATGCCCCGCCGCATTGAAGCCTGCATTGCTGCCCCTGGTGACTTGACAAAATACTAACTGTTCACCTGTCTTTGAATCTGGAGTTATGTTCTGCTAAAAAATTACAATCTTTAAATTCTCAATAATTTCTGGTTGTACTGTAGTACCCATACTCAGTTAATAACGAATTCAGAATCTACTCGTACCTGGGTGGACACGGGACGTCATTACAGCTCCTGATCTTGGTGGTTGGCTTGATCAGATGCAGACAATTGGATGTTGACACAATGGCGCCATTTTTCTCCCTGACGCACTCCAGTCTGGTTCTCTGCGTTCCTGAATTCAGTATCGAAAATGGTGTCTGGCTACAGTTTCGGTACATTTTCTGTGTGATTATAGAATCTGTTCGTCGCCTTGTATTACAAAAACTAGATATATGTGGAGAAAATATATTGAAAAATACATAGTTCTGTATTACGTACAGGATACATATTTCCGACCCTGAGTGAAATTGTGTGTCCTGATTACTATGGGTTACCCCCAACTCCATTCTTGGCTCCTTGGTAGGAAAGAGGAGAAACATGAACCTTAGCAGTTTCACAAATTTACAGTCAGTTTTAAATGAGACCTATAAAACGAATCACCATACTGTACTGGTGGAGATCACATACCTCGGAGACAGCTCTGGGTACATGTGGAGTAGTTCCCCAGCTCCCATCGGAAGGTTTCCTCGGGACTGAAGATCTCGTTAAATCCTGTGACCCCCGGAGATACCTCCTTTTCCCGACATGCTTGTAGAACACACTCCTCCTTCACAGGTGGCTTCTTGCCTGGCAGAGGTCAATTGGAAAGCGCTTGTTCACATAGGAATAGTGCGTGCATAATGTAGAACATTTCGGTTTACAAAGAACCCATCTCTTCCTTGAGACAGAACCAATAATATACTATTCAAAACAAGTAAGGGACATTCAATAAACAGGCGTCACAACTTTTGATATGTTGTTTCTTTAATGAGATGTAATAAGAACATCTGACTGAGATCTGTATAGGCTGTTGAACGCCAGATGAACGTAAATTGAACGTCAGATCACCATAGATTTTGATAGGTGATTAACTATAGCGCTCTACTGCCCCTCACCTCATTTGCCATGAAAATTCTAACTTATTAGTATCGCGTGATCCGTCAATATTCTCAAGAAAATTCCGGATTCAACAAAGATATCCTCTTTATCAAACCACCAATGTCACCATGGTTCATCCCATCCCATTCTGCCTGTAGGGCAGTGCAAGTTGGTGAGTGTGATTGGTGGATGTCAGCGGTGACGTATGTGGGCAGCATCCAGGGACACGTCCGTTTAAAATCTGCACAGGTGTTCTGCCAGTTACAGTGATCCCTCCCTACATCAATACTGAGTGATCCCCAAAACAATCGTTCTGTCTCATGTTAACAGCATGTAAACGCTCATTCCGTCCATGAAACACTCTGTTGCGAAGTCTCAAGTAAACCTTGATTCATCATGTTTGCCCAACGATTGGTCCAGCGCTGCTGTTCTTGACACCAACGACGACTTGCAGTAATGCAATGGTCCGTCAATCATGGGTCAAAATATGGACATCAGGAATGCATGTTCCATATATACAGTCGATTACGTAACCACCCGTACAGGCTCTTGATCTAAGCCTATAGTAACCAAATGTACAGACTGCTGTTCTAAGCCTACAGTTACCACCTGTACAAACTGTTGATATAAGCCTATAGTAACCACCTGTACAAACTGTTGATCTAAGCCTGTAGTAACCATCTGTACAGACTGTTGATCTAAGCCTATAGTAACCACCTGTACTGACTGTTGATCTAAGCCTGTAGTAACCACCTGTACAGACTGTTGATCTAAGCATATAGTAACCACCTGTACAGACTGTTGATCTAAGCATATAGTAACCACCTGTACAGACTGTTGATCTAAGCATATAGTAACCACCTGTACAGACTGTTGATCTAAGCATATAGTAACCACCTGTACAGACTGTTGATCTAAGCCTATAGTAACCACCTGTACAGACTGTTGATCTAAGCCTATAGTAACCACCTGTACAAACTGTTGATCTAAGCCTATAGTAACCACCTGTACAGACTGTTGATCTAAGCCTATAGTAACCACCTGTACAGACTGTTGATCTAAGCATATAGTAACCACCTGTACAAACTGTTGATCTAAGCTTGTAGTAACCACCTGTACAGACTGTTGATCTAAGCATATAGTAACCAAATGTACAGACTGTTCATCTAAGTCTATAGGAACCACCTATACAGACTGTTGATCTAAGCCTATAGTAACCGCCGGATAGGCTGTTGATCTAAGCCTATAGTAACCGCTGGATAGGCTGTTGATCTAAGCATATAGTAACCACCTGTACAGACTGTTGATCTAAGCATATAGTAACCACCTGTACAGACTGTTGATCTAAGCTCATAGTAACCACCTGTACAGACTGTTGATCTAAGCCTATAGTAACCACCTGTACAGACTGTTGATCTAAGCCTATAGTAACCACCTGTACAGACTGTTGATCTAAGCATATAGTAACCACCTGTACAGACTGTTGATCTAAGCCTATAGTAACCACCTGTACAGACTGTTGATCTAAGCCTATAGTAACCACCTGTACAGACTGTTGATCACAGACTGTTGATCTAAGAATATAGTAACCAACTGTTGATCACCTGTACAGACTGTTGATCTAAGCATATAGTAACCACCTGTACAAACTGTTGATCTAAGCATATAGTAACCACCTGTACAGACTGTTGATCTAAGCCTATAGTAACCACCTGTACAGACTGTTGATCTAAGCATATAGTAACCACCTGTACAGACTGTTGATCTAAGCCTATAGTAACCACCTGTACAAACTGTTGATCTAAGCCTATAGTAACCACCTGTACAGACTGTTGATCTAAGCCTATAGTAACCACCTGTACAGACTGTTGATCTAAGCCTATAGTAACCACCGGATAGGCTGTTGATTTAAGCATATAGTAACCACCTGTACAGACTGTTGATCTAAGCATATAGTAACCACCTGTACAGACTGTTGATCTAAGCCTATAGTAACCACCTGTACAGACTGTTGATCCTATAGTAACCAAGCCTATAGTAACCACCTGTACAGACTGTTGATCTAAGCCTATAGTAACCACCTGTACAGACTGTTGATCTAAGCCTATAGTAACCGCCGGATAGGCTGTTGATTTAAGCATATAGTAACCACCTGTACAGACTGTTGATCTAAGCCTATAGTAACCACCTGTACAGACTGTTGATCTAAGCCTATAGTAACCACCTGTACAGACTGTTGATCTAAGCCTATAGTAATCACCTGTACAGACTGTTGATCTAAGCCTATAGTAACCACGTGTACCGGATAGGCTGTTGATCTAAGCATATAGTAACCACCTGTACAGACTGTTGATCTAAGCATATAGTAACCACCTGTACAGACTGTTGATCTAAGCATATAGTAACCATCTGTACAGACTGTTGATCTAAGTCTATAGTAACCACCTGTACAGACTGTTGATCTAAGCATATAGTAACCACCTATACAGACTGTTGATCTAAGCCTATAGTAACCACCTGTACAGACTGTTGATCTAAGCATATAGTAACCACCTGTACAGACTGTTGATCTAAGCATATAGTAACCAACTGTACAGACTGTTGATCTAAGCATATAGTAACCACCTGTACAGACTGTTGATCATATAGTAACCACCTGTACAAACTGTTGATCTAGCCTGTAGTAACCACCTGTACAGACTGTTGATCTAAGCCTATAGTAACCACCTGTACAGACTGTTGATCTAAGCCTATAGTAACCACCTGTACAGACTGTTGATCTAAGCCTATAGTAACCACCTGTACAGACTGTTGATCTAAGCATATAGTAACCACCTGTACAGACTGTTGATCTAAGCATATAGTAACCACCTGTACAGACTGTTGATCTAAGCCTATAGTAACCACCTGTACAGACTGTTGATCTAAGCCTATAGTAACCACCTGTACAGACTGTTGATCTAAGCCTATAGTAACCACCTGTACAGACTGTTGATCTAAGCCTATAGTAACCACCTGTACAGACTGTTGATCTAAGCCTATAGTAACCACCTGTACAGACTGTTGATCTAAGCATATAGTAACCACCTGTACAGACTGTTGATCTAAGCCTATAGTAACCACCTGTACAGACTGTTGATCTAAGCCTATAGTAACCACCTGTACAGACTGTTGATCTAAGCCTATAGTAACCACCTGTACAGACTGTTGATCTAAGCATATAGTAACCACCTGTACAGACTGTTGATCTAAGCCTATAGTAACCACCTGTACAAACTGTTGATCTAAGCATATAGTAACCACCTGTACAGACTGTTGATCTAAGCCTATAGTAACCACCTGTACAGACTGTTGATCTAAGCATATAGTAACCACCTGTACAGACTGTTGATCTAAGCATATAGTAACCACCTGTACAGACTGTTGATCTAAGCATATAGTAACCACCTGTACAGACTGTTGATCTAAGCCTATAGTAACCACCTGTACAGACTGTTGATCTAGGCTGTTGATCCTATAGTAACCACCTGTACAGACTGTTGATCTAAGCATATAGTAACCACCTGTACAGACTGTTGATCTAAGCCATATAGTAACCACCTGTACAGACTGTTGATCTAAGCCTATAGTAACCACCTGTACAGACTGTTGATCTAAGCCTATAGTAACCACCTGTACAGACTGTTGATCTAAGCCTATAGTAACCACCTGTACAGACTGTTGATCTAAGCATATAGTAACCACCTGTACAGACTGTTGATCTAAGCCTATAGTAACCACCTGTACAGACTGTTGATCTAAGCCTATAGTAACCACCTGTACAGACTGTTGATCTAAGCATATAGTAACCACCTGTACAGACTGTTGATCTAAGCCTATAGTAACCACCTGTACAGACTGTTGATCTAAGCCTATAGTAACCACCTGTACAGACTGTTGATCTAAGCCTATAGTAACCACCTGTACAGACTGTTGATCTAAGCCTATAGTAACCACCTGTACAGACTGTTGATCTAAGCATATAGTAACCACCTGTACAGACTGTTGATCTAAGCCTATAGTAACCACCTGTACAGACTGTTGATCTAAGCATATAGTAACCACCTGTACAGACTGTTGATCTAAGCCTATAGTAACCACCGTACAGACTGTTGATCTAAGCATATAGTAACCACCTGTACAGACTGTTGATCTAAGCCTATAGTAACCACCTGTACAGACTGTTGATCTAAGCATATAGTAACCACCTGTACAGACTGTTGATCTAAGCCTATAGTAACCACCTGTACAGACTGTTGATCTAAGCATATAGTAACCACCTGTACAGACTGTTGATCTAAACCTGTATAGTTGATCCACATATAGTACACCTGTACAGACTGTTGATCTAAGCATATAGTAACCACCTGTACAGACTGTTGATCTAAGCATATAGTAACCACCTGTACAGACTGTTGATCTAAGCCTATAGTAACCACCTGTACAGACTGTTGATCTAAGCCTATAGTAACCACCTGTACAGACTGTTGATCTAAGCATATAGTAACCACCTGTACAGACTGTTGATCTAAGCATATAGTAACCACCTGTACAGACTGTTGATCTAAGCCTATAGTAACCACCTGTACAGACTGTTGATCTAAGCCTATAGTAACCACCTGTACAGACTGTTGATCTAAGCCTATAGTAACCACCTGTACAGACTGTTG